TATATAAAAGAAAAAAAAAAAAGAAACAAAAGAAGGGGGGGGGGGGGGGGGGGGGGGGGTGGATGAGTGGAGTAATTGATTGAAGTCTAAGTATTATTTCACTTTTACGGGTATGGCTGCGTTGAAGATCTTTACTACAATGACAGGGTCACTTTAAGACATTCAAACGATCCGATACAATATGAATACACACTTCCCTGTATCTGGAATCAGGAAATGTCTGACCTGTATGTGTGATCCCTGGAAACTGGCAGGGAAGCCCATGAACGGAGAACACCCCGGGCCCACTGTGCAATTAACCTATCACTGTGCTGCTCCCTATACATGTATAATAACTATATACCTAAATATGGTAAATACAACTAAAATACATATTGTTTACATTAAATTGGTCACTTTTTTTACATCTAAAACTTTTAGATGCATTTTGTCACAAAAAGTGACTTTCAATTGTACAGAGAAAGAAGGAAAACTGCAAGAAAGTCAATGTTCTCATACATACACTAGTGTGGTTTCCTGCGGAGATGACAGGTCAGCTTGAAAAATGCACTTTATATACGGTATATTGTCTCTTCTTTACAATGCCTTCAGTTTGGTGCAGTTTCCATGATGCAAACGCAGAAACCACATCCATTCAGCAAGGGGAAAGTTTCATACCTTAGAAAACCTCTCAGGGTTTATTGAGAAAAGCATTTTCTTGACCCAAGATGTGTTGGCCAGCTTGCCCTACAGGACAATCTCCTTTGGGGGACCCATTTAATACCAAAGCAAAGGTCACTGGTGTGCAGTTATCTATATCAACCAATCACAAAGCAACTTTTGGCAGCATAGAAAAAAAAATGGTGAATGAAGCAGATATCTAATTTTGTGTGTTATTAAAGAGGACCTGTAATGAAGAGCTATTGGTCTAGACCCAGGGTTAGCCAAACTCCGGCCCTCCAGCTGTGGTGAAACTACAAATCCCATGATGCATCTCTCTCTCCGGGAGTCATGTCTGTGGCTGTGAGAATCTTGCAATGCCTCATGGGATTTGTAGTTCAACCACAGCCAGCGGGGGGGGGGCTGAGTTTGGCTACCTCTGGTCTAGACCTTGTTGCATACTTGTTCAAGGTAAGTGACCCAGGGGAATGTTAATAGAGGCTTGGGATGACAGCAAAGGAGCATGCACAATGTTAGGGTCAGCAGTGGCAGCTCTCATTTTTCGAAATGTACAGCTTTATTTAAAACCCGCTTATATGTGTACAATGTAGTGTAGATTAGATGAAATGGGAGTTCATGATGGGGTTATCAATTCATCACCAAACCATTAAATAATGGTAAGTTTATTGCTGTAACACAGAAATAAGAGGAAATGATCATGTTACAGACTTTGGAAGGATACAAAAGGTGAGACAATAAAGCCGAACTGTAGACGATATAAAATCACAAATGAATGCAACTCAGCATTCAATAATAGACATAAAAAATTTTTTTTAAATTGCACAGTGCAAGTCCCTTAAAAGGAGAACTATGAGGCGAGTGATTTTCACTCAGCCCTCATAAATCTGAGCCGACCTGTGACAATGAGACTGTCACAGGTCGGCTCAGTAGATCGTGAAGTGAGCGAACACATAACGTCGCTCGCTCACTTCTCGATCTATCCGTGCAGAGAGGCGTGACTGTCACTCACGGCTCTCTGCAAGGATTCCCCCCTCTCCCCACTCTGATCCTCCAGCGCTGACTGGCGGAACGGACGGGGGAGGGGCGGTTACAGCTGGCTCTGACTCTAGATAGGCAAAATTGTCGGGATCCGTTCCGGCTGCGGCGTCTCAGTATACCACGAGCTATAGCTCGCGGTATACTGAGCCTAGGGTGACGGGAGGACACTAGTTTGTGTCCTACCGTTACCCTTAGGAGAACTATGGGGAAAAGCCTTAACCCCATAGTTCTCCTTTAATCTGACTCAGTACGAGTCTCTTGCAGTCCCTGTACAGCAGAGCCTAGACTGAGGATGGGAGCAGCACGAGGAGCAAATCAGCTCTGCAGCTGTGCAGGTAGCATGCGGATAGGAGGAAAGAACAGAGCGGCAGAGATTAACTCATTAGTCCACTGCCTCTCCTTTCACTGTCCAATCACAGGCTGTGGGAGGGACCTGAAACTTATACTTAGAGGAGAATTATGGGGTGAGTGAAAAACACTCATCCCCATAATCCAAGCCGACCTGTGACAATGAAACTGTCACACGTCGGCTCTATTGATCGGGAAGTAAACGAACACATACCACTGATCGCTCACTTCCCGATCATCTCCCTGCAGAGAGCAGTGACCGTCAGTCACCACTTCCTGCAGGGATAGATTTCGACAGCACTGTCGGGATCCGTCCCGGCTGCGGTGATCTCCGTATATAGCGGGCAATAGAGAGCTATTTACTGAGTTTTGGGTCACGGTAGGAGGTTAATATATGCCCTCCCGTGACCCTGAAGAGAACTATGGGGGAAAAAAGGTTACCCTATAGTTCTCTTTTGACTGCAGCATAGAAAAATCAGATGATCTTTCCTGCCAAACAGGGGTGTGCTGTGTGACAGAGCTGTGTAAATCTCAGGGCAGGATGGACAACTAAACAAACGTTGGAAGTTTAAAAAGCTCTCATATGTGTTTTATTGATCGTACATTTAGCGGTTTAACTGGAGCTGAGCGTTAAAGAATTTGGCTGAGATTTATTTGAATGATAACACTTTTTTTTTTCTATAACTTTAAATGCAAAACTGTCTCTGAGGAGTTGCACTTTTTGTGTCTGGATTACACGGGGCCAGTTAACATGTGAATAACTGCAGAGTACAAGTCTACACTAAGTAGCTAATGGAATTATTGAGATTATCTGATAATTCCAGTCACACAAATGAAATTGGAACCATTGGAATCTAAAACTTTGAGGCATAAATGCAGAATTGTTCCCACTGTCAGCCAAACTGCTGAGTGCGTGGATGACATTGATATCGGTTTGATTTCTAATCACCAACACAAAGCACCTCATTTATTGAAGTATCTGTTCTAGATAATCAGTGCTGGCTCACAGCCTTCAGGCTCCTTCTTTACAGCATGGGAGGATGAAAGCAGGAATCGGATTGGCTGCTGTAGGACAAATCTTTCTGCTGACACGCAGTATCAATGATACTTTAGGGCTCATTCACTTGGACAGCCGTACAGCGTCCGTGCAGAAACCTGTGCCCAGGAGGAATGCAGACGCTCTGTGCCCGAGGGCATGCATCCGTACCTTTATAGATGTGCAAGTTCAGGTTGGCTTGCAGCTGTGTCCTGTCAGAGATGTACAGGCGGCTGTACATGGCTACAAGCAGCACCTGTGCCTGTCCAACCCAGGTGCAGATTTCTGCTCGGGCATGCATGCTGTATGGCTGTGCACGTTCAGGTCAGCTGAAACCTGGACACAAGACGTCACATGGCAGGAAGATAGGACCAACCACGCTCACTCTCCCCCCTTGCTGCCTCTCCTGGCTGTCTCTCCCCTCTCCCCCCTGGCTGTCTCTCCCCTCTCCCACCTGGCTGCCTCTCCTCTCTCCCCCCTAGCCATCTCTCTCTCCTGGCCGCCTCTCCTCGCTCTCTCTCCCCTGGCCGTCTCTCCTCTCGCTCTCTCTCCTGGCCGTCTCTCCTCTCGCTCTCTCCTGGCCATCGCTCCTCTCGCTCTCTCCTGGCCGTCTCTCCTCTCGCTCTCTCTCCTGGCCGTCTCTCCTCTCGCTCTCTCCTGGTCGTCTCTCCTCTCGCTCTCTCTCCTGGCTGTGTCTCTCCTCCTCTCTCCTGACTGTCTCTCCTCTCGCTCTCTCTCCTGGCTGTCTCTCCTCTCGCTCTCTCTCCTGTATAACTTTTCCGAAAAAATTGCTGTGGGGTGCTAGAGTGTTCGGGGTTTCACTTGAAAAAAAGGTGGCAACTCTAAACCTTGCACAGCCATTGACTTCTCTGTTAGGCTATATGCAGCACCGTGGTGGGGGAAACCACACAGGACTTCACAAATTGTGGGCTCAGCCACTTGTTTAAAGAGCCCTTCTTCTGTATAATAAGCTCCTAGGATATCTTGTGCAGAAAACAAAAAAAGTGTTTACCCGTTGTCAACAGTCAGCTGGATTATCTAGCTCGATAGACAGAGAGATACATTGGTAGAAACATACAGACTACAACATTTGCATTATGTATGATCTTTGACCGACAGATACAGGCTGGTAACTTCCTTGTACTATGAAACTAACTCCAGAGATCACTTCATTTTCTTTTAGTACAGGGCTCGTTTCTGCATCATTCACAACCTGGAGATTTTATTTTTAGGTGGCCAAGCAACAGAGTTGCAAGGACACCTATTGTTATTGTGCTGATTATTATTATTTTTATTATTATTTTTAATGTTATTTTTTTTTAAATTATTATTATTATTATTATTCCGCCGCTTTTTTCAAATGCCTGTAAAAGGTGCACTGTTAGTCAAAAACTCATGAAACTTTGCGCAATGCTACAGCCCTATGCTCTGCAGAGCTTATTACTGTATAAAGGTCATAGGTCACATGATGTGGCAGCCATCTTGGTTTTTGTGACGCTTTTTGTAAACTATTCAGAAACCTGAACCGCTAAAGCTACAGATGTACAACTTGCTGTGCTCTGCTATGCTCTGTTGCCACATGTGTTCATTATATCTCTTTTGGTCACATGGTTTTGCCGCCATTTTGGATTGTGCAATATTCTCCAAACACCTTAAACTCTGAAACCATTCATCAGAATAACTTAAAACGTTGCACATATGTCCAGGGCCAACTCTACTGCCACGGTTGTAAAACCAGGCCCGATCCCAAAATCAATATGGCCGCCACAAGCCGCTCACTTTTAACATTGCAGCAAATTGCAAAAACGTGCATTTCTATCACTATTGCAGTATGTTAAACATGTTATACATATGATAACTCAACATCATAACTGCCAAAGACAATATGGGTTCCAAAGGTCATCAAGGTCAGCGGACATTTTGAATTTGGAAAAAAGATATACGGGTCTATTTTGAATACATAACATTGCTATTTATGTCTCTAACTACAATATCTTCTTATGTGCTATAACCGGCTCTAATGCTTGGCCACCTTTATTGCTGCTTGCAGCTATATTTTAAATTAGAATTATTTTAAAAAACAAACAAAAAAACAACCTGCACTTTTGTCTAGGTTCAAAAATAAAGTTATACTCAACCAATCTTCCAAGTTGACTTGCTCTTAGATCAGTCCCTTCCACCTATCTCTCTTTTCCTTCCCTTGAGTGGTCTAAGTTCATGTGAGTCATCACGTTCCATACACAGAGGGGAATTTATCAAAACTGGAGCAGGCAGAACCTGGAGCAGTTACCCAGGGCAACCAATCAGCTCCTCCCTTCAGTTTGTTCAGTTGAGATTTGAAAATGAAAGAAAGAAGCTGATTGGTTGCTATGTACAGCTGCTCCAGGTTCTGTCTGCTCCAGTTTTGATAAATACCCCTCACAGTGCATTGGACGTGAGAACACCAAGGGACATACCAATGGTGGCGCGCAGAAGAGAGACTGGACGGAGTGCTGTGACTGCTGGCCGGCATGGAGGATCGAGCATAACTTTCTAATTTTTAAACCTAGAGAAAAACGAGCACTTAACCCTAAAAACATGTGTGAAAATAATTTTTGAATGCAAAGTGGTTAGATCAAGAATATTTTGATGAAAGGCTTAAAGGCATAAAGTGGTATCTCCTCCCCGCCAATATCCTGCAGATTGGACAATAAAGGAGCAGCAACACATTGAAATGTCATCAGATCTGGCCAGTCTGCCCTCTCCTCCTGTCAACATGATCCCTGCCAGCACATGCACCAGGGCCTGAATGGCTCCCTTATCTCAGTTTGCGTGATACGATCACAGACCCTAATACTGAGACAGATTCAGGTACTTAAGCTAAAATTAATCAGTAAAGTGATATTAAAGTTAAAATGTTTTTAAAGGTATTTCAAATGCCGATGAAATCACTTATAATGGAAGCTGCTTCTTGATGTTTAAAAGTTTTAGTTTCCTGCAAAATCAGCCGGTCCCCCGAGTACTGGACCTGATATCCTGTTAGGGTGGCTCCTTTCCCTTGCAGAGTCCTATGGAGCCACCCCTGTGTGTGCTAATAAGATGTGTGCGTCTCTACAAGCACACAGGCAACGCAAGCCACTTTCCTGCTCCCCTTCCTCCCTCCTTCTCCAACCAAGTAGATGTACAGTTGTTGGAGACTGCGCTGTCCTCTGACCTTGTACCGAACGGGAAGTTCAGGGAAGCACAGCTGAGAGAGTTGAAGCTGTCTGGATACATGGTGACTGTACTTGCTTGGGCAAAATTTTAAAGAAATACTTTGCTGAGCGACGTATATTTCTTTGATCTGAATTCATTATTGAAAAAAGGTTTTAGAGTTTAATACTACTTTAAATCAGATTTTTTAATAAAAACTTTACTTCACATTCATCTTTCAGGACTGCAACTTTAATAACCATCAGGCAGAATTTTTTCTTCTGTACAACAACCACATTTGCAGTCCTGCCACTTTGGATAAAGGAGTCAGTTTAATCTTTGAGTGATTTCCCAAAATGAGATTTCACCAACAGGGAAGAAATACTTGTCAGGTTGAAATGCACCTGGAAGCGAGCTGCATTTGCCGACACAGGCCCTAATGATGTCTGTAAATAGTTACATAGTTAGTCAGGTTGAAAAGGCACAAGTCCATCGGGTTCAACCTATAGATATAGGTATAACACCCCATGGTAGGACAGTACTTGGGATAGAACACTTCCACTCTTTGCTTTTGTCCCTCCTTATTTCACTAACTGCCTTCTGGGGGGACAGTCAGGGTTGTATTTAAACATCTTGCGGCTTTATATTTTTTACATATAAGCATTTCCAAGTCTTGCAGAAAGTAAATTAGTGACTATATCTGCCATTAACCCACACCCATCAGATAACCTTACCTTGACACTGGTACCCCTGCTTGCCAAACACTCCCCTGTAATGAACAAAAATAGAAAGTTGTTAATGTTCCGTCACCAAGAGCTCACATCTATGCAAGAACAGTCAGAATAGTACAACCAGCAAATACTTCTCAAGTGATTTTTCTTCACTACGTACAGGCAAGTTCCAGGAACCTAACCATTTAAAACAGACTTGCTGGTGAGGTGACCAGCTCTTCTGTACTGAGAGAACTGGAGTTACTAGTGGTGTGCAGTGGTTTGGCGCAGAGATGGATTAAAGCCAAATGGGGCATAAGGCAAGGTAGCAGCTTTGCCCTAACTTAAACCTCCCAACCCCTAAAACCTTATCAATCTATGTGACTATTGGATGTTTCTATTCCTCCATACAAAAAAAGTAGCAAAGGGCTGTTTCAGTGCAAAATCTGTGCAAGGCAGAGCATTTAGCGCAGGGTATAGAGCAGACCCTAAGACAGAGTTGGACAGGCACTCCTATAAATCGGGGATAGAAGGGGGTTAAAGAGAAGGGGCAGTGTGGCATTAGGCTTGCATAGCGATGGAATCCCCTATATGGAAAGTTCTTGTGAAAAATTGCTTTTTTTAATAGAAACAAAATGTAAAAATACAGAAGCTAGGGCATGGTTCTACAAATAATATATCAACCAATGAGGTGAGCAGAGTTATAGATTTCTATATATACTGTATGTTTCTTTGTGTGCAGCATGTAAACACACACACACACACAAAGCCAGGAAGCCAGGCACAAAAACAACCAACACATTTTGATTCATATCTCCCAGGCCAACTAATCTGTGTTCTTCGGAGTGGGGGATATGCTCAGGGGAACCATTCAAAGAAAGTATTGACCCTGCAGGCATTGTTGTTTCTTAAAAGAGAAAATATAGAATATGTGCACACTTAAATTTAATTTGTTGTCCTGAACATTCTGTTCTAGCATTCTGTCAATAGGTATTGGAAAGTCCCTTTAATAGCATTTGGCCAGGCTCAGTCCAACCCCCCTTTTGCATTATGGTAACAATGGCAGGATGGATGCCCAGTGACAGACAACCCGAATGTCAAAGATCATTGGTGTGCTCTTTACGAACTCTTTATGAAGGCAGCTTCCTTATGTAATCACTGTAACATTTAATACTGCCTAATATGTATGAAGTATAAGTAAAAAGCACTTAAGGAAAGTCAGTAAAATAGGATTTTTGTACTCACCGTAAAATCCTTTTCTCTCCGTTCATTGAAGGACACAGGGCAACAGATTGTAGATCCTGAATGGTAGGGTATATCGCCACCTGCAGGAGTAGGACGCTAGGCACATAACTAAAAAGACAAGACAAGCACCGCCGCATCCAAAGCCGAATTACAGACATAACGCAGGCCCAGCACCAACTGGTCCGCCAATTCCACAAAGGCGGGGGAGACGTTCTCCTCCGCAAGACCCTGATGTAAAATTTTTGCCCACTCAGTCAGAGTCTGAGTGACTAAGGCCGAAGCCAAGACCGGACGCATGAGAGCGCCCGCGACAGAGTACAGGGACCGCAAAAGCGCCTCAGCCTTCCTATCGGAAGGATCCTTAAAGGATGGAGAATCCTCCACCGGGATAACCGTGGCCTTGTTTAAACGAGAGACCGGCGGGTCCACCACCGGTAGTGAAGACCACTTAGATACAAAGTCCTCCTCAAAGGGATAGCGAACTGAGAACCGTTTCGGAACCGCAAATGACTTGGAAGGCCGTTTCCACTCCTTATAAATGAATTCATCAAAAAAGGAGATGTAAGGAAACACCTTGGCGGAACGTCTACTCTTATGCGTTCCAAACTGCACGTGCGGCAGCGCGGAAGTGCTGGCAACGTCTTCAATTTTTAGAGTCTCCCTAACAGCGCGGACTAGCGCAGAAACCGTCTCACGTTCCTGAACCAGGAGCGTAGACGCGGCCTCATCCTCACTGGCCGAATCAGGCTGCGAGGAATCACCAGGATCAGGACGCGGTGATGTCGTGGGAAGTTCCCCTTCCATGCCTAGCTGTAGAGGTAAACATTCATATAAGCATATAAAAAACAATTGGGCATTTCAAAGATACCACACATTGTCTACCCCAGAAAATTACTTTATTAATTTTTATAAATGTAGTTTTGGACAGAGTAGGATAGGTTAGGTTGTTAATGTAGTGTGCCCCTGCTGAACCTCTGTATGGGGTTTTAACCATTCCTAACTTTGTCCAATTGACTTTAGATAAACAGAGTACCTGTAGGTCTTTTTCATCCTGATTTTTGTACAACCACAGAAGGGTCTCACATATCAGGGGGCAAAAAAAAACCCAAGGCCTGGGCTGGTTTTCTAGATAACCCTTCCAGTCCCCCAGTTTCAGTGCCTAGAGCAACCCCCCTCCCCAATGTAAGTGTGTCACAGAACTAACAGACAATCATATGAGGCCGTTTCAGACACGGGGACCAAAGTTACATAATTTAGTAATTCTACATGCACATGCAGGGCAGTGCCCATGTTATAACAGCTTACAAGTAAAGACAATGAAAGACAATGAAAAATGAAGTCACTGTATGATTATAAATATAATTACATGCTGATCTCTCATCTAAATGCTTTTTCCCAGCACACACTGATTCTACATGCGTATATATGCCTTACCAGATGAAATCTTTGCAGTGGGAACAGTAGGTTGGTTGTCGCAGGTAAGTTGCCATAAACTTGTGTCCATTCACCTGGTGCACCCTCCGCCTCATGGCTCTCTGCCGTTTCCTTGTAAAGTGCCTCAGAAGCCGCCCATCACGCATTGTTCCTAAAATTGGAGTCACATTTTAACATTAAAAGGTGGCACATGATCCACTTTACCGCTACATCATACTTATCTACAGGCACCTATTATATATTTATGGGACTAATGCTATATTATATATAGGAATTACTAAAGTGGAGCTAAACACAATCATTAAATTCTCATATCCCTTTTACACGGGTAATTTTAACAGTTTTACTTCTTTTATTTTTAAAGCTGCTGCTTTCATTAACTAGTCTTGTTGCTAAGAAGGTTCTTGTTCAGGCTTTTGCTGTTAAGAGGTCTCCCAAATGTGTTCAGGCTCTTTCTGTTATGGGGCCTCTCAACTGTGCTCCTGCACTATCCCCCTGGTTGAGACTACAAGCGACCACGCTGACATACAACATGAGGGCATGGTAGGCTAGTGCCATCATCAGAAAGCTGGTCCAGAGTAGTGTGGCAAAAAGAGCTAGAACAGTGGATAAGCGCACAACTGATGGATAGTCACTGTGTTGAGGACTTAAGAACTGGGGCGGTCGGTGTGCAAGCTCCTTAACACAGGGAGAGGAACCCTGTACAGCAATATATAAATGAACTTTTAGGAGCGCTACTACCCTGGGGATGCTAGTGTCTATTAGTGTGTGCAAAAGATAATAGACTCACTGTTTAGGAGACAGCTGGTGTGTCTGTGGATCCTCTGGCATTAAAATGCACGGTCCTTGGAAAACCAACTGGCTCAAGGGGTGGATGGCTCCAGGGGTCGATGGTGGTAGGTCTGGGAGCAAACCGCGTACTCAGCTGGCCAGGCCGAGCCGCAGCAGCATGGGAGAAAGAGAGAGGGGGAAAGAAGCCGCGGACGGCTAAGCGGCACCGGGCGCAGTGTGTACACTGATGGCCCCTGGAGCCATCCACCCCTTGAGCCAGTTGGTTTATATAAAGTTAAAAGATAAAGTAAAGTATATGTAGCAATTTCAACAATAAATACAAACGTAACAATGTGTCTCATAATTTGCTGGTAATGAAGGAGAATTGTCTACGTAACAATGAATATACAATAATGACTACAATAGTGAATGCTTATAATAGATCAATAAGTGAAATGTTCATTCATAGTGAGGTACTAGGAGTTTATATAGCAAAAGTATAAAAGAATGAAAGTTTATAGTCTGGTAAGTATTTAATCTATTTTCACATTTACATTTAGCAACTGTGTACAGATTTGCAAGAAAAAAAAAAGAAATTAGACCCAATAGGGTTTTGACACTATCTGCATGGAGGTTTCATGTTCTGCCTGAGCTTGTGTGGGTTTCCACTATGTACTTCAGTTTCCTTCCACACTTCAAACACATGCTAGTAGGTTAAAGTTACACTAAACTTACATCTTACAAAATGCATTCATTATTAACACAATTAATTATTAACTATTAACACAAATGTAGCTTATTTGTGTGTCACTCGGCTGTAGATCCTCAAATCATCTCTGAATTGGTGCCGACACTGTCCTTCCTTCTGGAGGGTGGTTACTTTTATTCCCCATAGTCCTGGTGTGTGTTGTAAAGTAGTCACCACTCCAAGCTCACTCCCGTGATGGACTACATTCTCATGTTTAGTTTACTAATTTGTATTGAGATTGTAGTCCATCACAGGAGTGAGCTTGGAGCGGTGGCTACTTTACAACGCACACAGGGACCATGGGGAACAAAAGTAGCCACCCTCCAGAAGGAAGGACAGTGTCAGCAACAATTCAATGCACCAAACCAATTGCTGAGTGAATCTGATTCTGTTAAGGGCAGGCTGAGATTCTCCTCGTTTAAATATGTGCATGTAGAGTTCATTTAATGAGGCTTGGATCAGAATTCGGATATTCAGAAATGTGATTTGTCAGAAAAGATTAGGATTAGATTTCCTGATTGGTCTAAGCTTCATATCTATATACCCTTCTGTAGTGGGAGTTCCATTTAGGGAGGCACCCACAGGCACTTTAGAAAACTTTATTTTAAGGCTGCTTTTCATACAATGGGAAGTTTAATACAGAAAAGCACAAACAATTGTGACGAGATACATAGGATTATATTCTAATTGCGAATATAAATGTTTGATTCTTTTAGATTAAATTGACTTTAATTCATTGTTTACCAATTAAACAAATCAGGAAAGTGTATAAATATGCTGGCCCATGAAAGACATGAACCATAAACCAAATAGAAGTATTTGCCCTTGGCTTGTGGTTTTTATTGTACCTAAACTATGCTCTCCAGCTATGAATTTACAAACAACATGCCACATCACAGAACCCTTTTCACTTACACCTCGGTGACGTCATTGGCCTTCAGGGAACCGTAACCAGCAATATTGACCTAGCCAAAAAAAATGGCCGTCTCTTCAGTCTGCGGGCCATGTGTGTAAAGAGTGACATGCACATTGTGGTTGGCTGATCACAACGTATGCTGTATGTGGCTTTTTATATCACTGTAAAATATGAGTCTCCCAGAAAAACAGTGTAAGCTAGAATATCAGCATTGCACATTATGCTGTGAACTTGTGGTCAGTGCTCAACACAGGAAGAGGCCAAAAAGCTGTATATTACAGAACACAGAATGCAAAGAACCCTCTTATACCATAGCTCACTATTAACAGCTTTATATATGTTATAAACAATGCTATGATTAAAGTGGAGTGTTGGCTTCCCAAAAATATGCTGAAGCACTTAAAACTGTAAAAACAGAAGCACTTATAGTTAACTGCAAAGTCTCACAAATACCGGTTGATCTTGCCACCTAATGCAGGTTCCTGCATACAACACACACAGGGACCATGGGGAACAAACTTAGACACCCTCCAGAAGGGAGAAGGACAGCGTCAGCACCAATTCAGGGATGATTTAAGTGATACACAAATAAAGTAAATTTTTTAATAGTTAAGTTACTTGAATGTATTTTTAAGGTTCAACTCCTGAGTTTAGTGTCACCTTAAGCATTTAAGTCCCTTTAAAGGCTTGTTATAGATTTTATACAAACAATTAAAAAAAAATACAAGCCAACAGCGTACAAAGTTGTAAAATCAAAAATTACATTAAAATTGACCCAACGCTAACGCTGTCACCTATTAAATGAGCACACAGGAAACACAGCAAGTTCCTTGTAAATACATTTGCTGATAATCTGTCTCTGTGTGGACCATCACCTACTCTTAAGGCCAAAAGATACCTGATTAGATACTGCCTAGTTGGAACTGAAGGAGAAACTGTATGAGAGCTGCATACACTCATCGATGTGGCCATCAATCATACAATTGATTCCACTGACGTGTGCACTTATGAGAGTTTGACCATTTCATGGGTGGTCAAATACAGGTGAAACTCGAATAATTAGAATATCGTGCAAAAGTAATTGCAGTAAGTGCTGCAAAAGGGGCCCAAACCCAGTACTGAGTACATATGCATGCTTGTACTTTTCAGAGGTCCGATATTGTTCTATGTACAATCCTTGTTTTATTGATTGCATGTAATAATCTACTTTTTTGAGGTTGTGGATTTGGGGTTCTTGGGGTTTTCATGAGCTGTAAGCGATAATCATCACAATTATGACAAATCACGGCTTGAATTATCTTGCTTTGCATGTAATGAGTCTATCTCATATATTAGTTTCACCTTTTAAGTTGCATTAGTGAAATAAATGAACTTTGCACGATATTCTAATTATTCGAGTTTCACCTGTATATTCCATGGTTAAGCCATCTAAAATGGACATGAACAAGTGTCTGGAAGACCAATATGATGGCATACATGAAGTTCAGTACGGCTAAGACTGGACCAGAGCTGGAATTCTATTATCAACACCATAGGCCACTCTTATTGAGTCTTTCATAGGACATAAAATCTTTTGTAGCTGCACTATTCCTGCCTTCTCCTGACACTGTGATGTTCTACACCACAGCCTGTGTGCCCTTCCCACAAACACACAAGATAAATAACCCCGCAGCGAGAAAGTCAAGACCTTACATAATGTTTTACAATGTCAAACATGAATATAATAGCTATTATCATTTACAAGTGAGAAAACCTGCGTTCTTCACAATATTTAAGACAATAACCCATCTGTGAACCACACCCCTCCCTTACAACTGATCTAGTATTTACATGGCATGAAGTGGTTTCTCATCCATTCTTATAAATTAAATATCTTTCGGCAACTTTCTTGACACAATATTCATATGCTGGTATATGGATCTTCATTAGAACTTTGGCTTAAAGGAAAAGTCCAACCAAAACAATTTTAGTTTTAACAGAGAAGGGAAGATTTAAAATGTTTTTTAAGTTTTTATTGCGGACTGTAATATGTTGGGGGATTCCCCCTCCCTTCCTGTGCTAATGACAGTTTTTCATGAGTAAAGTAAGTTTAGGGAACAAGAACTAATAAAAATCACTCTTCTCATTAGGGTTAAAACATGCATGTCAAGTTCAAATTAAACAATAGGCAGTAAGTATTTAAATTGTGAAAAGGATTGTCCTTGATCCATTGAGGGATGTGCCTATCTCCTGCTGTCATTTAAATTGGCCTTTGATGTAAATCTGCATGAATTGAATCCTGGCACAATATGCAAAGATCAGCCATAACATTATGCACTATGGGAAGAAGGCAAGTTGGCAGAGGCAGTGTGGGGCTATGGGCAATGTTCTGCTGAGAAACCTTGGGTCATGCCTATCATGTGGATGTTACTTTGACCACCGGCCTAAACATTGTTTCTAACCAAAGTACACCACTTCATGGAAATCGTATTCCCTGATGGCAGTGGCCTCTTTCAGCAGGATAATGTGCCCTGCCACACTGCAAAAATAGTTCAAGAATGGTTCAAGGAACACAACAACGAGTTTGAGGTGTTGACTTGGCCTCCAAATTCTCCAGATCTAAATCCAACTGAGAATCTGTGTGATGTGCTGGAAAAAAAAGTCCGATCCATAGAGGTCCCACCTCGTAACTTACAGGACTTAAAGGATCTGCTACTGGTGCCGGATATCACAGCATACCTTTAGAGGTATAGTGGAGTCCATACATGACAGATCAGGGCTGTTTTGACGGCAAAAGGGGCACCTACTCAATATTAGGCAAGTGGTCATATTGTTATGACTGATCGGTGTACAAAAACAGTGCAATGTTTCATAATATCTCTACATTTTATCAATAAAAGCAGCTCTTGGGCTCCAGCCAAGTCACTTTGCATAGGGTGAAATGATGCCATCAATCTGCTGCAGGCAGGAGGAAGCATTTCTTCAGTCTCCTCTCCTGCAGTGATCAGACTACAACGTTTTAGCAAACCACAAGTCAGGAGGCTGCAGCAGGGCCTGGTCTGTCAGACATTTGTGAACACTGCACAGACACCAGTATTTAAATGATTTTGTCACCTTTGAACCAGAATTTCATTCCAGGAAATTGATGCTGACACTTTGCATTGCCTTAACAGAGATGATGGTCTCTCTTCTGGAGAGAAAAAAAGCAGAAGATGGCCTCATACAAGCTTGCTGAAATCTTTGCAAAAACTTTGTAAAAAAAGAAACTTGCTGTACCCATTGGTCTTTAACACATTTAAGTGGAAGTTGCCAAAACTGTAAAGGCCCTTGTTCCAGAGATGGATCAAAACTTCGGAGTGTCCCAGAATATATGACACAAGTGTTTGTGTTAGACATCCAAATGATTCAAAATTTTCTTACCTTCTGTAAAGCTCCCTATAAGGGTGATCGCAATAAACACTTTGCCTTCAGGTTCCAAGTCAATCTATAAAAAAAACAAATAATCAAACAAATGTTTATATACACATTACTGTTAATTGCCTGCTGCTTACAATGTATACAGACATCTCCTATTTTCCTTTGCAGTCTAATGTCTACATGGTATAAACCGCATAATAAACTTCGGAATGTTTGGAGCTTATATGATGCCCCTTTATGGGCCAATTTATGTTATTAAAGATGCAAGCTTTCAGAATGCCTTAGATCCCTCTTTTAGTCTTTATTCTATATGAATTTTGCGAAACCAGAAGAAGGAATCTAAGGCATCCTGAAAGCTTTCACCTTTAACAGCTTAAAGAAAAGTAAACCCAGCTAGTGACTGCTACAAAAACACTGAACTGACTATTTTAAAGGGAAGCTCTGCTTTAAAAAAATATGAAAAATGAATAAAAAAAAATCATATAGCATATATATATATAAATAAAGATTATAGCATATATAATTGCTCCTCAAGCCATTTTGTAATGTAATGTTAAAGATTAACTCTCCATTAAAACTGCAGCTGCTAAGGGCTTGTTCACACCATGTTCAGACAGTTTTTGTCCGCACCTGTAATCCATCCCATTGTATTCCTGCAGTATTTCTGGGCTCTGTTCACACCAGTGCAGTCCGTTCCAGTGTGGGCAAAAAAATGCTGCATGCACTATTTTTTTCTGGTCTGGAAACGCATGTAAACACATCAAACCTGCATGCAAATACACTGGAATGCACCTGAAAGCCAATTTTAAGCTAAAAAAAAAAAAAAAAGAAAAGAAACGCATCGGTACACACTGGAACGCATAAAAAAATGAGTCTAAACACAATGCAGCACTTTATAGATCTGGTCAGGAAAATGGTGTGAATCTGGCTCGCTGTCAAAAAAATTCAATGCAATATGGTAACCTGGAGGTTTTCTGTACATAGTTGGTGTTCATAACACCCCCAAATATGTAATTTCTTCTGTGATTGGCTGACTGTGATTGGCTGACTGATGTTGGCAGAAGTCTGCACTAAGATACAAGTAAAATTTTAGGCATCCTTTTTGTTGAGGTACTCCGTAAGTGCCTGTTCACAGGACGTCCGTTTTGTGTGCTGTCCTGATCCGTACGCTCCTGCACTCAAAATGCATCCCAATGTATCCCTATGTGTTTTATGGGCTACAGTTCTCACGTGCGCAGTCCGTTCAGGTTACGACAGAAAAATACTGCATGTCACATTTTGTACGACAGGAAACGCAAACGCGTCCAAAACGCAAAGGACTGCAGCTAACATACTAACAGCCCCACTCCAGCTTACTGGAACGCATCAAAAACGCTGCCAAAATGCACTGCATCAGTAGCACCGCGTCTGCAGATCCGGACCTGATCAGGACCTGAAACTCATGTGAACAGGCCCTAAGGGTTCATTACTTCTAAAGGGATGCAGACACTGCATCTTAACTCATTACAACACAAAGTCCACCAGCTGATTATAATGAACCCCGACCCTCCCATTCAGGGATCAGTCTGGAAAGGATGTGCTGGAAAGCTTAGGTAGGAATCTGCAACAAAGTTTGTTAAAATCCTTACAATGTACACAGTTGACCAAGAGGGAATTTTCGCTCAACAAAAGAGGAATTACTTCAATGGGCAGTTTTAAATAAATAAATACTTTTTTACCCCACTGAACACTGAAGGCCGCCCTCCCCAACCCTAACACCCTCCCAACCACTAAAGCCAGCGCCATTGTGGAGTGATTCAAGTACTGATTTCTGTGTAGTTCTCCTCTGTCAATGTCACTCTTAAACCCCACACCTGTGCAGTAATGCCTAGCTTTGCAAGTCATAGGGTAGATGGGAGTAGCAATCAGTCCCGCAAGAAAATTACCACCGATTTGAGACTGCTCGGATGCCGGATGACATGTGACATGACCGCTATCGATGGAGACCATTTTATGTGCATTTTCAGATGGGACAAAACCTTATTAGGGAGCTTACGGGGTATTACTTAAACTCCAAACTGTCTGCATTAATCAATGGCTAACAAGGTACAATTCTCCACTACACAAGCCCTTCCAACAACCTGCTCTGTACATGTTATTAGTTTGAATAGAGCTTGCCAACATAAAATGGCTAACACAGAGTATTGCAGATAACAATAGCTGAAATATTGTGACTGCAGAACACAGGTATGTGCAGGGTGTGCCTGGACATCAGAAATGTAGCATACATTTTCTTTTCAATATATGACAAAGATTTGAGGTCTACACTGTTTGTTAAAGCATTGTCTACAAACGGTCATTTTAGTTATAGAATGTTAGCGCAAATGTTCATTTAGCAAACTGGAAAAAATTGAAGCAAGTACTCCCATTTACTGCACGTCAACTGTTTGTCTTTCTTCAAATAATTCCACAATATTTTACTGGCTCATGGAATATTTCACTGAATATTTGTTGAATCTTCCCAAAATCAGACGTTTATGTGCAGCAGCCTACAGCTACACTCTCTTATTACAATCTGTATTCAGTCAGGACCTTTGTACTTCATAGTGGAGGGTAGATCTAAAGAAGATTGTATCATCAGATTGTAAAGTGTACAGCCAGCTAGAGTCTGAGAAACATCAGGATTATATAAAATAGTGAAATCCATAGCAGCCAATCAGATTTGACTTCTTATTTGATTACAGTAGAGTAAGACACTATAACTAGCTGCTAAAGTTTGCTACATTAAATAAGCGTAACATTAGTGATAGCAGAAAGAATTGTGTGTGGATGAGACTAAAAGTACCTAAAAGGAGAACTATGGGGTCAGTGCTTTTCCCCATAGTTCTCCCCAGGGTCATGGCAGGACACAAACTATCGTCCTCCCGTGACCCAAAGCTCAGTATGGAAAACATAAAGCAAAAAGGAGCGCCTCGATAGTGTAAAACAGAATTTAATAAAAAAGAAGACACACAGCTAGGGCTGTACTTACAAACAACTGTAGAAACACAGGCATCTAACAAGGATGGGTAAACGAAATCATGAACAAAGACGAGCTGGAGTATTGATGTTAAACCAGAGTCTTCTGCCCCCAAGTATTCCACGGGTTTACATGTTTCAGAGGCAGGGCCGGACTGGCCATAGGGCAAACCGGGCACTTGCCTGGTGGGCCGGGCCAAACACAATCAATCTGATTGTGTTTGGGCCGGTCCGCTATGCCTGATGGCCGGCTCTTAGAGCCGGCACTACTACACAGTAGACACTAGAGGGAGCTGGTGGGGGAAGCCAGAAAACACCTCCTCACCCAGCTCTCTCTAGTCTCTACTATGCTCTCTCCGGAGCTTGCTGGTGATGTTCCTGTCCCCTGTCCCGGTCGGTATATTTACATATGAATGGGCAGCAGTGATTTGCATATCAATAAGGCCCATTCATATGTAAATATCATGGCTAATTCATATGCAAATCAATGCCAGATACATGATATGTTTACATTCAGTTAGGAGTCAATCACTTTCCCTGGACAGGAGTCAATCACTCTCCCTGGACGCATCGATTGTGTTTTCTAACCGCATGTAATCATATCACATTCCATTACATGCGGTGTGCATGCGTTTACATGGAGCTACTGTCACCTGATCATTAACTTGAATAGGTGACAGCTGTCACTTGTAAACACCAGATTAGGGATTTCTGCTGCAGTAAAACGCAAGTTTCTGATGCAGGAATCCCTAATCGCACCTAAACCTACAGATATGAATAGGGCCTTATTGTGTGTGTATTAGTGTCTGTACTACTTAAAGTGGATATAGTTACATTTTATTTTTAAGTATGAAATGTGGCAGACGGCCCCCATGAGAGAAAAAAATTTGTCGAGTGGCCCCCGAGACAGAAGAGGCGGGGGGTAGAGGAACCACGGGGGTACCACGCGGTGCCTTCTTAGAGGGCTTCCACCGGCTGCCTATCTTTGCCTCCTGAGACCCTTTGCCCGAGACTTCAGGCTGGTACCCTGGAGTAGAGCGGCAGCACAAAGTATGTACCAAATTCATATACTATTTTTCTGCATTGCTGTATAATGTTTTGCAGGGATTTTTAGTCCTCTATAGCTGATGGTATTCTGCATTAGAGTGTAAGCTCCTCTGTACAGAGACTGATGTGACCTCTCTGTATAGCACTGCGGAATATGTCATAATATAGTGTGTGACTGTGCTGGGGACATTTGAGTGTTAGCTACTTTAGTGCAGAGAATGCCAGGGGGGTTGGGGGGCCAGTGAGATCCGATTCTCTATAGCAATATGTCTGTGAAGGTTCTCATTCATCCAGGTCATGGTATATCTGTAAAAAAATAAGTCAAGGCAACTGGACTTGCTATATTTTTCTTGAAGACGTTTCACTGGCCATCCAACCAGCTTTCTCAATTCAGAAATTTCTGAATTGAGAAAGCTGGTTGGATGACTAGTGAAATGTCTTCAAGTAAAATACAAGTCCAGTTGCCTTTACTTATTTTGTACAGATATTCTCTATAGCAAGCTTCCTACATTGTTGCTGCTTGCTGTGTCTGGCCTGCTCTCTTCTTGCTTAACTGAAGTCACAGTGATGGGTCAGTAGTGGGCATGGCAGGCAAAAGGAAGCAAATCAGAGCCATGTACTAGAAAAATGATAGCTGTTACCAGGAGAAAAGCACCCTGCTATTCAGGGAATCCAAAAAGTGCTGGATAGGAGTACAGACCTAATGTCAATACAGCCATTTATTTCCATGTCCACCTATATTTTCTTTGTCAACTGGTGTTATGCTCAATTAACTGACAAATGCAAAAGCCTATACTGTCCATTGAGGCTCTGAAGTTTGTTAGATAAATGATGGAGGCAGGGCTTAATGACAGAAGGGTGGGCTTATTATTGCCTTGGTGAGAAATGGGCCTGGGCTTAAAATCCAAGGAGATCTAAAGTGATTATTTTAAAGACCTACACCGGTACTGGAATATATCAGCACTGTAGTCACTTTGAGCAAGGTCAGACTTATAAATGCGTAATCGTGAGAAATCAAGTTAG